TGAAAATTCAAAGAACCTATTGCAATAAAACGGCAATTTCATACTTTAACCCCTAATATCTTCTAAAAATACAGTTTATCTTCTCCGTGTAGTTGCTAACAATAATTTTGTACGCGCTTAGAATATGCTAACTATGCTCTCTGTGGGCCTATAAGCCTGTAAGTTGGATTGCCTGTGAACAAAAAAAAAATTCACTATCCGTGCAGTTTACGTTCCCCATTCGAAATCCGTTCACCTTTTCTTTCGTAGTAAAATCGTATCATGATGTGTTATTTGCCATGCACATGGCGGTTTCATTTGTCAAAAACCAATTCAAATAAAGTTACGCCGTGACTAACTTTTTTAGATTTGTTACATTTTTTATTTCATTTTTATTGTTTTTTAAGAAATTTCTTCTTGAAAGTTTTGTTATATTTCCAGTTTCATAATTATCTGTTGTCTTTTTGGCTATATAGCCTATTGTCAATAAATAAATACTATTATTTAACTATTGAGCGTTTTTTGAATGTTTTAGTTTAGTTAGTAGTTTATTTTAGAATGTTAGCGACTGTTTGTCGCTGACGACTGGCTGACAATTTGTCGGCGGCAGTCGTTAGTTTGGTTCATGGCCACCATATTATCGCGCCGTAGCTGATACTAGGTCTTATCACCGTTGTGTAGAACTAAATATATATTTCGGAGAAAGTTGCCTACCATTCTACTGCCACTGCCATGTGATTGTAGCTTTTTGATTTTGTTGTTTAGGTGTTTTAATTCAGCCTGTTGTCAAGTGTTGTTCTGAGCTAAAAGGTTTAGGTAGTAGGTGGTTTTGTACTATCGCTTTAGCGGAAGTATGTATGCTCCAACTTTACATTCTCAATTTACATTGCGGCGGAAAGGAATGGAAGCGTCAATTTTCTAGCGAACGTCTCGCGGACTCGCCAAGCGTTGCCGACTGCACCTGCTAAATTCTCGCGAATGCCCGAGCATTCTCGAACATGCGAGAGAATTCCGCGGAAGACGCGCGAAGTACACGTTGTAACGTGTATTGTAAATTGACCATGAAGTTCATTATGCAAAAATTCGCTTCCATTCCGTTCCGCCGCAATATAAATTGAGCCCAAAAGAATTAATGATGATATGGCCTTGACATTTGTTTTATTAATGCTTATTTATTACAACGAAGTACACTTATATAAATCTTTCATCGTTTTCAGTATTATGGTCTGAAGGAAATGAACTACTATACGGTAATGTTCGGTGTGTCCCGTGCGCTGGGCGTGTTAGCGCAGATGATCTGGTCGCGCGCGCTTGGCTTCCCTATCGAACGGCCAAAGTCCCTCAGCACCGAGCTCCTCATCAAGCAAGTTGGCAAGTAAACTTCTAATAACCTCGCGCGCGCAGCGGGCCCCCCCACAGCTTGATTCACACAAACCTATAGTTTATTCGAGTTATGAATGCAATACGAAATTCAAACTGGCCAATCACAATTAATCCATTCTATCAGCTCATTGCCACTCATCCTTTATTTTTTGGAAAATTCCAAGTCATTTGATAATTACACGTGATTGCCGAGAAATTTCTTATTCAGTCGTAACTGGAATTCGCTTTAACACTAATTGTCAATTTAATGATTCTTAGAAATCGATTCTTAAAACATTTATGTCTTTGTAAAAATTTATTTGTTATGTTTTTATGGCGTTGTTGTAATTATTTTATCTTTTCTTAGTACGTTTTAGTCGAAAATGTAGCATATTATATTTTTGTGTACTTATTTTTTTGTTGTTTAGTATTATTTAAATATTTTTCTTTGTAAATTTGGTTTAATTTTTTTGTAACGTGGGTTATTTATTGCGAAGTGTATATTTTAGAGATAAATTGTATATTGTACTTAAATTATTATGGAAACACTAACGTAAAATCAATAAATTGACAAGTGTGGTTGTGTGATTTAACTGTACCTCATTCAGCTACCGTAAATAAACAGTAAATGATAGTAAAACTCGGGTTTTTGTAGAACAATTGTAGGGAATTTCGTAATTTTTAACTGTATGCTATGCATACTGCTTTCATCAGAATCAAATGTATCATAATTTTCACCTGGACGTATTTGGAGCTCACTCAGTATTTGTAATGCCATTGTACTTAGCATTGCCTGTAGTACAGTTTCTTACAACATAATGTAATGAACTAGACTGCATTGCATCTCAAGTGAGTGGTCTCGTAGGTACTTAGGCAAGTGTGATTAGATAATTTACTACAATATTGTCATATTTCATTTACTTTTCTATACAGCACTTTATTCTCGTTCTTTAATTTATTGTTCTCTTTTATTCAAAGTGCTTTATAGCTATTATACCGTAATTTAATTTCATGTTACCAAAGTATTTACACATAATTTATGAGACATTGCTTATTTGTAAGAGTTACCGTCGAACCTCAAAGGTCCTTGCGGAAGTGGTGCTTATTCTGCTGAAAAAAAAAAACGATCAAGGGCTGACTGATTATGTTTTGAAGTTGGACGGCAACCGAATAAATGCAGTGCATCATGAGGCTCACGAGCCTTTATTGTCTTTCAACACAAGACGAATGGTCACGTTATCGTTCTTACCTAAAGTATGAAAAGGGTAGAAAATCACTATCATCATCTAATTAGTGTCGTCATTATTTATTACGTAATTTAGTAGACAGCGTCACATTATTCTTGGTAGGCGACTATACTTAAATTATGTACCAAGTGACATCGCGACTATCTCAAGTGGTCGCTATGTCATACGATTCAAAATTTGACAATACTTAAAAATAAAATGGTATGATGTAGTATACAGATTGAATTTTATTTTATATTCCCTTATAGCTCTTCCTTATTCCTCACTTCTTTTTACAGATGGAGGGAAGAAGTTGTTACGAAAGAAAATTTATTAAAAAAATAAAGATCATAGGCGTATTATATAGTAAAGAAATATTCCCACTCTATTTGTGTGTATGCTGTTTTGTTTAAATGCAACGTTTAGTAAATTAATTTATAATACGTCACATTTATTGAATTTGTCAAATAAATATAACTACATACGTTGATTCATTGGAATGTACTTAATATGAACATTGAACACATATCACGATTAGTCTACATGTAATGTCCTTACACTTAAAGCTGTTTACAACTTGGGCTTCATAAATCGGTTCATAAAACGATTCAGTATATTGTGCTTGCGTCAGTCTTTCAAGTTACTATCGTCTTTCTTTTTTGTTTTGGAAGATTTTATTGAAGGCGTCGATTCGGATTTCAATTCAAGATCTTGCTTGTCTGCCTTCTTGTTCGATTTGATTGATTCCAGTTTATCTTCTTGTGAATCTTTTTTATTGAGTAAATTTTTCTTGGTATCTGCAGGGTGTTTATTGCTGTTGTCCACTGGTGGTTTAATGCTTCCCAACAGTTTGCTCGTGAATGTGTTCTTGCTTCCGAGTAATGTTTTACTACTCAACGATAGTCTACTCCCTAAGCCGGTGAGGCTTTTATTCTTCGCTTTTTTAGTAAGGGAATCGTTTGAGCAGTCGCTTGACTCTATGATAAAAGTTTCCTTATCATATTTATCGCCTAGTCCAAGACTTGAGTCCAAGTTTCCAGGCAGGTCTGTTGGGGGAATGCCATCGACGTTGTTGAATACTCCTTTCATTCGTGTTAAAGTGGTAGACAAATGATCGTCATTCGCATCGTGTTGGCAAACGCGGATCTCTTTATGTTCTATTACATGACTATGAACGCGCCATTCGTCAGTTATGATTAGATGTTTGCTCACGTCCCAGCCTGGAATGTGGACATTATAATTATATATTATTAAACAAAATACATATGTATATCAAAAAGCGCGTTTCGTACAACAGCTTCTCTAGGTATTTAGTAGCAGTGGAGCTCCTCGTGATAGAGCTCGTCCAGGGAAGTACTGCCACCTTACCTATTTCTGCCGCCAAGCAGTGAGTATTACTGAGTTTCGGTTTTGGAGGGTAAGGGTGCTGGTGAAATGGACATGGGGCTTAATAACTTGAGGGAATGGAAACAGGCACATGGGACTTGTCAATGTTTCAAGGTGACTGACGCAGTGGCAGTGCCCCTCGGATCTTTGTGATTTAAAGCACCAAGTGGCACTGCAATTGTTATGGACAGGTGTGGTCGCTTAATATTAGGCGCACGACTTATTCGTCCCGTCACATGATATTATAAAAACAAAAATTGTATACTTATACATAAACGGTGAAGTTTTATTAACCAGTGTTATGCTGAATTATGTAAAATCTCTCAACGGTTCGACTGACTGAAGAATTTAGGAAGTAAAAATTATTACCAGTTTGCAGAAGTCCAGCCCGCATTCTGATCCATTCCTTTGATACGATTTGGTCGACATACGACATGAGTTCATAGGACGCATCGTAGGCGAATCCACTGAATCCAACTTTCTCCAATGGTATACGGGGCCACTGGCTGGCTTGTAAGGTGTAGCACACTTGTGCAAAAGGACGCGGGTCTATGTCATTCCCTTTACGATAGACAGCCTAGGAAGGAATTTCAAAATAAGTGTGAGATCGAATGGCCTCATCGAGGAATATGCTTCAAGAAATAGAATAAATAAATACGTTATGATAAATCTATCGCGATTGCAAAGGCTAAGGACACCTATGCTATAGGTTAACAGGATAAGACTATGCTCTACAGTAGTGGCCTTCTATCAAACATATGAAAGAAAACAAAGATTCGTATATCGTACGCGTCTTATCAGACCTCGACATGTAACTGTAAAAGTAAGACAAACAAACAGTGACAACATTGAAATGTCTGATGGAGGCTCACTACTGTATGCTTATCCAGCTAGACTTTTATAAGAGAAAGCAAATGCTTATCCAGCTAGACTTTTATAAGAGAAACCCATTGTACGATTTCTTACCAAATTAACATTGTTGATAGCGCATATTATAATAGACATTAGTACAGCGTGGAAATAAGCGCACAAAATATCATCAGTCGTAATGTGTTCCTTTAGAAGTATGTAGATCTCTCGGTTATTCACATTCGGGTATAAAATGTACTTCCTGTACCCGTAGATATCTTTTATCCTGCTTATATGCGCTGCTGCTGTATTGTGCTGTGCTACTTTTTTGATAGAAGCTCCTAATTTTATTTTGAAGCCGCATAGTTTTAGGTCTAAAATTAGAATGTACATTAAGGTACAAAATATTATTTTATTATATAATGCTCAACAGTAATATTTCGTATCTTCTGCGAGCAAACTGTTTACGGGGCTGTCATATGTTACAATAAATATGGCGACATGCAGCAATAACGTGTTAACCCACAAAAACACAAAAATTGAGATATGAATGCCAAATTATTGTAGCTTGTTGTCTTGTCTTGTTCCTTGTGAAAGAGTTCGTCCAGAGATGTATTGCCACTTTACCCATTTCTCCCGCCAAGCTGTCATGTGAGCATTATTGCGTTCCGGTTTTGAAGGAAGGATATTGGTGAAATTACAGGCACGTGGGACCATAGATATAGAAAAAAAGGGGAGATTTGGTTTGGGGGCGTGGTTCGTGTCCTGCAAGTTTGTGCGGGCACGTAGCCGCCGCGGTTGCGGGCACAAAAACCGTTGCGATTGCGGAACGGACCGCGAAGTTAGTGGGAGTTAATCGCAATTCGCGCGGTTAATACAGAACTTACCTCGCGTGCGCCTGCACCACATTGCGCCGACCGCTAATGTGCGCGGGCAACAACGGCCGCCAAGCGCGCAGGTGGTCGCGTCCTGCGCGGTTCTCGCGAGCAACCGTTACCACTACAGGCGTAAAATGCGCCGTGAAATATGCTACTAATTTTACATACTTAACTATTACATTCTACAGATGTCGCGGCAGACTCGGGTGAAACACGCTCCGTGAGTTATTAGTGTAACGAAAAATGAGTTTCAGCGCCATCTAACGTGTAATAGTTAGCTATTTTTTATACTAGTTGCATTTTTTACTAAAACGCCACCTGATGGTGGATGGATGACTGAACCAGGATGAAAAAAATATTGAAATATTGCAATGTAACTCTTACACAAGTGACAGTTAAAATTGTGTTACGTCGTTTTCATGTTTTAAGTCTTAACCAATCAAAATAGTTAAGTTATGGTAGATAATACTAGATAATAGAGCGCAAAATTTGAATTGCACACAAACTAAAAAGTGGCGACATCGGTACCCGATCTTACATAGCGTCATTACATATCCCCCCTTTTTTCCTATATCTATGCGTGGGATCTTGTCAACTCAAAAAAAAACAAATAAGTACATTAGCCACAACCGCGATAAAAAAGCTTTAGGCGCCATTTTCTGAAAAATTATGATTTATTTGGTTGACACGTTATTGCTTATCAGCATCCAAAGTGGAAACACTAAGCCTCGAACAATATGTTGGATTTATTAAACTTGTGAACAAGTAAGTGGTAAGGCTGCTAATAGACGGACGGCAGGCACGAAGACGACATGTACAACTACATGCAGTCGACACTTACTTCAAGCAGTTATTGCCGCCTACCTATTTCAGGAGCTTAGTGTATTTGTTGATATCTAACTCAAAACATTTGTGATTCCAAAGACTGCCTTTACTTTTTATTAACAAATTAAACATATAGGAAATGAAACTATTTTTCCGGATTTAAATCGCGTATATTTGTTTTTTCAAACAAACCGACGTTTCGGGCCCTTTACAGGTCCCATGGTCACGGTGGACTCACGGTCAACGGTGTTGAAAAAACAAATATACGCGATTTAAATCCGGAAAAATAGTTTCATTTCCTATGTGTAACAATCGCGAAAACCTAAGAACTCGATAAATTAAACATATCCTAACTGTTGAAATCCTCCATTTTAATTTGTGAACAAATTTATCTTTAACCCCAAGTATACTCAGTGGTGGAAAAATGTAATAAAGAAATGTCCCATACAAAAAAGTATTTTAAGAATTGTGCGAATAAAATAAATCCGTCGAGAAAAGTTACTTGTTTTTGTTTTACCATTAAGTTGTCGTCAAGTAATCGTTACCTTTGACGTTACTACAAAAGCTGACCTTTCAGTTATGTCAACTGCTACTTTTGATTCTTAAGGTCGTATTCTAGAACTCTACTCAATGTGTTCAAGTCAGGACTTGAGTATGATTCAAAGCGCTCAGCAAATCATATCAAGTCCTTGCCGTTAGGGTCGTATTTCCAGTGCTTGAAATCATACTCAAGTCTGCTCAAATCCTGACTGCACGCCTTACCTGCAGACGTGTAGTCCATCTGTTGTCAGCCTAAGTTCTATTCACTTTGTGATAAAAATTGCTAGGGCAAGTATACCACACAATAGCTCCATAGTCAAGTAAATTCATACTCTGTTGAAGTAAGAGTGTAAGATTGATACTTACCTAAATAGTTAGCGCCCAACTGGTAAAATATAACCGGTTCATGACGATTGATTTCACAAGGGTTCAAAATTACTTCGTGTTTAAGGTAAGAGTCAATCACTTGCAAAAAGCGTGGTTCGTTGAGCGTTCGCAAACACACTGATCGCACGGCGAAGTAGTTGAACGTTATGTGAAGTATAACCATAATAATAAAAATCAGCACTGAGTTCCTGAAACATTGAAACCTTTAATCAGCTACAATAATAATAATAATAATAACGCATACTCAACATAGCCCCTCACTAGGGAAACCCTGAGTCGCGGGTACCATGGACACACACATAGGCAACAACAAATTACACTCAAACTCACGAGATAAACAAATATAGGCCAAACAAATATTTCTCCCGGCCCGGGAATCGAACCTGGGACTTCTGCGTGGTAGTCCGGCATGGGAACCGTTCGGCCACTGAGGCAGTTGATACTATTTGGGCATGGGTTAAGGAAAAATAAAGTATTGTAAATAAGTAGTTGAATTATTTTCTGTTGTAAAAAATGGATAATAGAAACTTACCCAAATATATAGAGCATCAAAATCGCAGTCAAAGATGCAATAAGATTGACAGCTGTTTCCTGGGCAGAGTCCTTTGCAGAGACATCTGCCAAGTTGCCTCTGATGGCATGGTGTTGAGTCATTGCTGCTCTGGTGGCCCCACCTGAAGAAATGAGAATGCAACAAACATTAGGTACTTTGTGGAAATTATATTAGTGTTTGTTCTAGAGTGGTAATTTGGAATAATTGCCAAATAAATAATTAAGGTGTGGTAGAAAAAACATGAAATTAAGGTGAATGCTGTAAAAATGAGAGTTTTGTGCAAAATTTGCGCCAAGCAGTTATATGTACTGAGTTACTGCGTTCCAGTTTTTAAGGGTGAAATGACAGGCACATGGAACTTGGTCAACTTATGCCTCCGGGTGACGGGCGCAGTGACAGTGCGTAATATCTTTGTGACTTAAAGCTCTTGAAAGGCACTGCAACCGTTACGGATAGGCGTATCGCTTACCACCACGCGCACGACTGGTGCGTGTCCCTTCACTTCACTTCACTTAGTATCATAAAAATTTAAAAAAAAAGGAACTGTAATCACTGCGAGTTGTACAAAAAAGCCAGTCTTTTTTGTCAACTTATATAACTTAACTGACATGTTGTGTGTAAGTGATAACTTCTTACAAAATAATTAATTGTCTCCTTACCTGCTACGCCCACGATAGCTTTCATGACAGTGCTTACACATAACGCAAATGTAGTCAACTGCTTGAATATGGGTAACGACATTTCAATACACATGGCCACATCATTAAGTACATCTGCGTAAAGTCTCCATTTCTTGCTGTACGCATCTAGATATGAACTGTAAATCGAAAAAATAAAAATAAGGAGCTGGCAGAAACTATATACATAGGGCACACTAAGTTTCCGGAACTGGCCACTTACATAAACAATATTTAAAAAGTAATTACATTTATATGCTGTAGAATACAGTTTGTTTCATCTGACTGTCACTTGATTTTACATTGTGGCGTCAATTTAAAAATAGGTTGTCGACATCACCATGGATTTAAGTCGTGAAAATTTTTGTTGTATGATTTTCTACGACTTTTAGGGTCGTATTCAAGAACTCTACTCAATGCTCAAGTTAGGATTTAAGTATGGTTTAAAGCACTCGAAATCATACTCAAGTCCCTGCCATTAGAGTCGTATTTCCAGTGCTTGTGTTTCAATTGCAATCCTAACTTAGAGTTCTAGAATACGACCCTAAGCGTATTTTAACAGCTCAGCGGAGGTTCGCTCGGCTTCAGACTGCTTTTGACGATGAAGCACCATGCAAGAAGACTATTTATAGTTGGTTTGCAGAATTCAAACGTGGTCGTGTGAATCTCAGTGACGAATTTCGTGATGGTCGCTCGTCCACTGCTGTGAACAACAAAAACATCGAAGCTGTGCGCCGTATGATCAAAACAGACAGGGATGTAACATACCATGAGATTCGGACATTTTTAGGCTTAGGCATGAGTCAAATACAATTATTACTACACAAACATTTGGGTGTGAAAAAGCGGTGCTCTCCCTGGATCCCACACAATTGACTGAGGCTCAAAAAACGGATCGCGTCAGTTTGTGCAATACCATACTTACCAGATTCAACGAAGGGGCGTCAAATTTGATGTGGGACATAGTAACAGGTGACGAAACATGGATTTATAGTTACGATCCCAAAACAAAGCAACAATTGAGCGTACGGGTCTTTCGAGATGAGCCGAAACCAACCAAAGTGGCGCGTGTGCAAAGTGCCTCTTAGCGGACGATTCCTTCTTTTTTTTAATAAAACTAGACACGTGGCTACTGTTGCTTTGTAGAATCGTTGTACCATGAATAGTGATTGGTACACGACCATTTATATGCCGGAGGTTATTGACAAACTCCGTAAAAATAACCGTAAACGCCGTATCATCTTGCACCACGATAATGCCAGTTCTTACACGGCCAGACAGACAAATGAATTTTTGAAGGTGAACAACGTTGACCTTATGAGCCATCCCGCGTACAGTCCCAACCTGGCGCCTTGTGAATTTTATTTATTTCCAAAAATTAAGAACTAGTTACGCGGTCAACGATTTTCATCACCTGAAGAGGCTGTCGAAGAGTATGAAAAATATGTTTCACAGATTGTCACGGAGGAGTGGCATAAATGTTTTCAAAATTGGTTCATTCGTATGAACTGACCATTAATCGTATTTTAATCTTATTCATTCCGGAAACTTATAGTGCGCCTCACGTATACTTCGTTGGAAGCAATATTCAGATAACTACTGGGATACGAAAATAACTACTGGATGGTATTCTAATATTATCATTGTGTGAATGGATAAATAGAATCTTCTCGAGTCATTCTCCTGAATACCAGTGGTGGTGTTCTAAAGTATGACATGCGACTCTACCCTGAATTTACCACGCTAGCGATCGCGTCAAATATTGCAAATATTGTATAGCAAATTATACAGCATCTGTAGCAGTCTCAAGATAAACTATTTTCTATACAAATATTTTACATGACTAGTCTGAAAACGTAACTCGCTACAGTTTACTTGTTACATAAGCTATTTAAAAAATGTACTGGATAAAACGATACCACATACGTAAGTATGAATGGCATCGAGACAAACCCAAGTAGGCTTTAACGGTGTTTTACATTATTTATGTATACTTTTTTAAAACAATAAAATAAATAAAAATAAAAAATAAAATAAAGTTGTTGTAAAATCAAAATACCATTTTTTGCTTTTTTACTTACATTATTTATCCTTTTTATGTATATTATAGGTTCCATGCATTGACTTACAAATAAATAGACGACGGGTCTAATACAAAAACCACGAAAAAAATGTCCCAAGTCCACCTATTCGAAATTTAAATTGTAATGTCATCGCAGTATCGCGCTGTCAGTAGAACAAATGAAGACTAAAGCGGAGTGTCGCGCTCTGTATACGATTTTAGCGCCTTACAAGTGCGGACACTTTTTAGCGCGGACCCGACGTCCATATAATTGTAAGTCAATGGTTCCATGTTTGAAAATAAACTTAATAGTGAGTGATTTCCTTACTTTACTAGCAGCAATAGAGCACTACTGCTTTGGCTTTTACCATCTCTATTATAAAAAAAAATTGTGGGCAGACGATAGCGAGAATGTACCATTTACATGAAAAAGATAATCATAAAACTTACCCATGGCTGTAAGCAAAGACGATTCTGCCAATATGTCCGCATCCATCTTTGAGGACCCACGTGATAGTGGCAGAAAGAGGTGTGATTGCAGTATCCCCTACCCCAACCCCTCTAAGGACCTCCTGAGTGGCTAAAGTACCTGTTCATAATGGTTAAATAACAAAATATTAAGTCATATCACAATCACTTCAGTTCTTTTAGTTTTAGATTTGAATGTAACAAAGTAATTTTAGTTCACTTCTACTACCTTACTGGGCAAATGAAATAAGATTTATATTTCCTGAGGCTTACAATGCATTACGATATTGTTCCTTAAACAGGCACAAAATGTTGAAACATTGTTAAAATATACTTTAGAACAGACTCCTAAAAGACACATACTACAGTTGGAAATAATAAATTTAATAATAAGTAATTTATTTTTAGTATTATTTCTGCCAATAGAGTATATACAGGGTGTAAATTTGAGACAAGGCAGCAAGGCCAGCTACCTTAATCGTTGTAGTTACAGGAAAATAGTTCTAGAATACTATCCATGAATTTTGAAGATATTTTGATTGGCATTCACAGATTTTGAAAAAATGGTACAGTCAACAAGATAAAAGGCAATTTTTACAAAACTTTTTTTTATGCCATTCGATTCGGTCTCTGGTAAGGATCAATAGACTCTATGGGACCAACTGAGGTAAGAGTACTCTAAATGTCAGAAATCGCAAAAAACTTTTTAGCATACATTTTGTAGGGACCTATTTAGTAATCAGTTATTCTAGGTAGTTAAGGTAACTAACAATAAGGAAATTAACAAATTGACAACGTATTATGTATTTCAAAATAAAAACAATAACGAAAAGCAAAATAACATAAACAGTCTATGATAGTAAGTGCTCAAATTGATTGACGGATGCATCGATTCGCTCTCTTCCGCAAAGAGCAAGTAGCGGCTGAAATTCTACTCAGATGGATTCCATTGAAAATTGCTGCAAGTGCGTCTTTCAATTCTTGAACACTGTTGTATTTTTTTATAAATTTAATTTTTTACATAGCCCCAAAGAAAAAATCAAGGGGCGTCAGATCAGGGCTACGCGGTGGCCATTTGATAGGACCATGTGTTCCAATTAATTTGTTTCCTCGCTTGAGAACATTTTGATTAAAAATCGTCTTAAAAGTGACAATTCTCCATTAACAAAACAAAACAGAGCTGTTCCAAATATAAAAAATAGTGATATGATTATGATTTGGTTTTACTTAAGTTTTATTTGTAGAGTAGTGGCCAGTTTCGTTTATAACAAAAACTTTTCATTTAAAATGTGTGGTAAAAGTTTTTTGTGATTTCTGCTATTTCGTGTACTCTTACCTCAGTTGGTCCCATAGATACTATTGATCCTTACCAGAGACCGGATCGGATGGCATAAAAAAAAGTTTTGTAAAAATTGCCTTTAATCTGGCTGACTGTACCATTTTATCAAAATCTGTGCATGCCAATCAAAATATCTTCAAAATTCATGGATAGTCTTCTAGAACCGTTTTCCTGTAATTACAACGATTAAGGTAGCTGGCCTTGCTGCCCCGTCTCAAATTTACACTCTGTATATTAATGACAAAGGTAGTTTGTAGAAATCATAAATTGTATTGTATTTTCTCAAAAAGGAGACGAAGTAGACCACGTCGGCGATAGGGGGACGACATGGACTCCTTTTCAAAGGACTGGAAAAATGTTGCTCAAGACCAGTTGCAGTGGGAAAAGAAGGAGAGGCCTTTGCTCAGCAGTGGGACAAATCGGGCCTATTAAAAAAAGAAAAAAATACGTGTTGTATATTGTACTACAAAAAAGTTTAGTTACTTTGTTGTATTGAAATTATTAGCGAATTTGATTTCGTACTCTTCCTGTATTCTGTGACTTAATAATTTCCTCAACCTGAAACATGCTTTTTGAACATTCTGTATAGATTACATTAGGTAAAGAATGTAAGGAAAATAGAAAATAAAGGCTATACCCGTGTAAGGGAACAAAATATGCCCCTGACGTTATAAGCAAATGAATATATCCTATGTATTGATAATATAGCTAGTTATTAATCTGCCAAGTTTTATCTTATAATTATTGACAGTTTCCTTGCAATGTCACTTGAAAGTTTTTTCTACTCTTCTAAATATCTTCAAAACTACTGGTCCGTTTCTTTTGTGATTAACGTATGTTGTTAATGGCATGAAGAGGAATAAGTTCGCAAAAAACAAGACGTCTCTAGGTCAACATTAACTTGGTCATTTCTGATGTGAAATATTTCAAACTTCATTTTTTGACACTTGTGAGTTAGCGACACCCACCATTTTTTTTACACCGATGTGACACCTCTTTCCGTAAAAATATATATTGGTCTGAAATCAATCGGCTTGGAGCAACATGGTGTTTTTTTCAATAAACTCTAGGTGCCTAATCATAAGAGCAGTATTGAAAGAGGTTTCAATAAAAATATGATTGGTAGATTACCGAATGAGGTTTGTTGCCTGTACCTTCGATGAATTAATGCTGGCTGGTTATTACAATACCTACTTTCAAATCCCGAGAAATAATTATTTTTTAGTGAAAAAGGCATCGCTTCTCTTGTTTATAAAATATGACATTTCTCCCTTTGCTTCGTTGTTAAATACAAGAAAATAGATGAATAAAAAATTTTTTTTTAACCGCACACCAAATAGCCTGTATTTGTCGGTAACTATAACTTCCCTTTCAATGCTTTTCATCTAATTCCGTCAAAGATTTCCCAGAACTGACAGAAACTGAATTGAAAGTATTATGTACAGGAACATATCAATTCGGACAGGCTATTTGCTATTTAGGGGAGGTCCTCAATGAAGACGGTACCTTAAATATGGCTTACGTTAAGGAACAAACCTCTATTTTAAAAGTACAGATTCAATCTCGACATATGTCTAAAAAAGTGTATAAATGTTTTATAAAATATAACCCACAGGTTTTAGGAATAAATAGTATAGAACAGTATTGTTGTGAATGTGCAAATGGTCTAAGAACAGTAGGTTGCTGTTCTCACGTAGCAGCTGTTATATACTATTTATCATATGGTAGGTACTTGTCGAAAATACCACGGCCCAATGAAAAGTTGAGCTCACTTTTTCAAAATGACACGAATGTCACAATAAACGTAGATAGTGACGAAGATTAGGATTTATTTCATGTTATAGTATAATATGTATCCATTCTTTCATCTTATGACTGATAAGGGTGAAATAGGTAAATCTTTTTGTAGCCGACTGTACCATCGGCCACACACTTTGCTGACCATTCGTTCACCTTATTGACGTTGACATAAGGTCCGAAGATGGTCACTTCGGTGTGTTGCTATTTGTACCAATTGCACTATGTCGGAAATTATTTTGTTACATTTGTTGGGTTAATTAATATCTTGTAAATAGCTTATTTAGCTAGAGGTTTTACGTTTGTAATGTTGATTAATAAATACAACATTTTCATTTTAAAAATAACTTTTAATGTAGATTCAGGATAGTCAATCCCTAGAATGTATTCCATAACGGACTATAGGTACGCTTAAATAATCTGTAGAATAATGAAGATTTGTATAAAATATCAATATACTCGTAGTACGTGTGTGTATACCTTGGTGATGTACTAGGCCGGTATACTCAAAAATTAAAAAAACACCATGTTGCTCCAAGCCGATTGATTTCAGACCAATATATATTTGTACGGAAAGAGGTGTCACATCGGTGTAAAAAAAATGGTGGGTGTCGCTAACTCACAATTGTCAAAAAATAAAGTTTGAAATATTTCACATCAGAAATGACCAAGTTAATGTTGACCTAGAGACGTCTTGTTTTTTGCGAACTTATTCCTCTTCATGCCATTAACAACATACGTTAATCACAAAAGAAACGGACCAGTAGTTTTGAAGATATTTAGAAGAGTAGAAAAAACTTTCAAGTGACATTGCAAGGAAACTGTCAATAATTATAAGATAAAACTTGGCAGATTAATAACTAGCTATATTATCAATACATAGGATATATTCATTTGCTTATAACGTCAGGGGCATATTTTGTTCCCTTACATGGGTATAGCCTTTAGGAACAAAGTTCACAAAACCTAGACATTATGTGCATAAGGGAAACGAGAGAACTCCATTTCTGTTTAAGTTGGAGAAAAAAAATTTAGTAATGTAGTGTAACTTACAATTTAAATTAAGTCAGGTCTCAAATAAAAATCATATTTTCTTCTGTTCAGTTTCGACATAGCCTTCTTTTGGTAGCAAATTACACTAGCAGATATCAGTTGTGTGGTGCATTCAAATTGGTTTCCGAGTGTATGTAAACTTCTATTTTGCAGTTTGAATACAGTGGCATTGTGACACACAAACTAAACTTTTTATTGTAAATATAAATTGCAGGAAATGGTTCAGGTGCAAATTAATGAATTTTGTGTACAATTGCAGCATAACAAAGTAATGACGACGACATTGGTCACCTTCTCAATCCATTTATTATATTATGTCATTGTGATTGCAAAGCGAAATAATGAGATAAACTCGGAATCAATTTACATTACTCACAGGAAACAATGTTTTGTTATAATATATAATTAAAACCCGGTTATATACGAAGAACAGGAACTTACGACTGTAATCATTTGCATTTATCAGGCTCCTCAAACCAGAAATTTAACTATTTCTAGGAAATTTTCAGTAAACCTACTCTGGTCTATTTCACTCTTTACGGTCTATACAGCCTTACTTAGCCGTAATTTTAATAATAATTCTGGTTTTATTCTTCATTAGAGTAAACATCACTTTACACAAGCTGCATAGAATGTATGCTGACATTTTGCTGATTTTTTATTGTTGTTCACCATATTTTTACAGAATTTATCAACGTTGGAAAGTTAAAAACGTCTAATGTGCATTTGGAAAATATTACGGATGACCGTCTTAAAGTAATTTTTTCAAGAAAAAAAATCATAACTCTAATTTTATTTGTTACAAGCCCTATATCCAACTACGATGGGATCGGGACCGGCCGGTAAGTTGGTTCTGGTCAGGGTATTCTGGATATTGCCCTCAGAGTTATTGTTACTCTGGTACTCATTCATTCACACTCAGGACAGGAAATTCCCTAGTTGAGACCAGAAATTTGGTTCGATTGTCTGGCATTTTCTTTCCTTAAATACTTCTCTTTGGTTTAGCTTCCATGAAAAAAGAATCTAACAGAGACAACAACGCTTTAAGTATCTCACTCGCTTCACTATATTGGGAAGTATGCCTTACATTTTGCACAATTGTGAGATCTTGTATTCATAATAGAGCCTCCATATACGACCTAATGCCTTTAATAACGGCCATATTGAAAAATGGCAAAAAGTAAATTTTGACCGCAAATTACTATCAAATACCTGTATAGACCCGATTTCAGTCGGATTTTTATTGGATCGGAAATTTTTATCTACCGTGAAAAAACGCTTGTGTACCTTGTGTACCAGCCATACTGAAAAGTGGCGAAATATTAATTTTGACCGCAAATTGTTATTCAACATCCATAGAGACCCCTACATGCTAATTTTCAGTCGAATTAGAGCAAATTTTTATCTGCCACCAAAAAGTTTGTATAACAGCCATATTGAAAAATGATGAAAAATAAATTTTGATTATAAAATTATTATCAAACACCCACAGAGACACCCTTATGTCGATTTTTAGACGAATTAGAGAGGTTATTCTGATTCCAATTATGCCAGTGATACTGAGTCTAGAAGATCAACTACTGGGTATATTTTCGTAATGAACAACATTCCAATCACCTGAGCAAGTCGACTATGGAGGTTGAATTCATGGCTGCTTGTGAAGCCACAAAAGGGATGTTGTGGTTGAAACAATTCTTGTTATATTTGGGGGAGTCCCCAAGCTGTATGAATTTGTGCATAGATAACCAAGCTGCTATAAAATTGATATGTAATTATTCCACCAAAGATCTAAGCATGTAAAAAAAATATAAGTCTATAAGGGAAAAGGTAGAGCAAGGTATTATTATAACCGTTAAGTATGTAGTGAGTGCTGATCAATTACTTGTTTTCCTGACTAAGCCTTTGCCAACATTCAATCCGAATCAAAACCAAGCATATGTTGAATTGTTTTAATGTAAGATTCTCAAGTTAAAGTTTTAAGAAGTATGTTCATTTGTTTATACTTCTTTTTGTTTCAGCCAAGGTGCTTGTGTTTTGTTGTAGAGTTAATGTAAAATTAAGGGGAGTGTTCGGTAGTAATTTTACATTAAGAGTCTATGTCAGTCAGGATTTCTAGCTTTATATATTTATATAATATGGAAAGCTTCAGCTCTTCCATATAACAAATAAAATTAGAAAATTAATTATATAATTAATTTTAAATCGGTCTTCTGAAATATTTTCCAGATGCCCATTAGACGTTTTACCTCTCCAGTGTCGTTATGTTGTTGGCCTGTAAATTTAAGTCAATGGTACATATTGTGAAGGCTAACTGCAGCAAGGGTCTAATAGAGGCGGATGATTTTGATGGTGTAGTCTGTTGCCAAAATGTCTCAAAACCTACCAGTAATGGTGCTGCAAAATGCTTGAGCTGTGTCCCAAAGTTGGTATGTAATATAATCGCGGCTCACACTGTCTGGGTAGCCTTGAGGCAAGAATATGTGCTTCAGCCAACTGTATACTTCACTAAGCTTTTTTTCATCCCACACGACCACGTTCGGTTGATCTGTTTCAACGAAAATACGCGAAAATATAATAAACTATATGCAGGCCCTTAAGGAAGGAACGAGTGAAAAACAGTCTTGCGTACCTGGAGGTTTTACGTAAATCCTTTCCTTCGGTGTGGAGCTCGAGCCATATTTTTCTTTCAAAACGATTTGACCCTCCCGAAACACGTACATTTTTAAAACTTATAAATTATATAGGTACATATATTCTGTTACCACATTTTACCTGTTTGCCGGCAAAGGCTTAATAGTTTATAAACATTGTCGTAAAAACTTTGAGAAGACTGTGAAGATTGGGTGAAGACAACCGCAGGAATAAATTGAGAGCCGACACCATGAGAAATGTTGCCCACGAACACGAATCCACGAATACAATGTTGGAAAATGAAATCGATCATTTGTTGGATATTTGACAATACGAGAATTACGAAAAGTACGTATTTTTTACTTTTGGTAAAAAATATCGATATTTTGAATTTCAATATATTCAAAATCGATTTCTGTATAAATCAAGATCACGTCAAACTTGACACTTTGTTTTGTATGTACACGTACATACTTTGGACCCCTCTTCCATCCTCTATGTTGGACCGACAGATATATATATTATTATGTATATTATTATATTATTATTATATTATGTATATTATTTATATAGACGCCGCAAGCACAGCAATTTGTATGAAAACCAAGCCACACTTTTTTGCACCCAATAAGATGTTACAACAACTCACAACAAGAACTATTTAGTGATGGAAACCTCCTTCCGCTAGCTCTAAATCAATTGATTGAACCGAATACGCGTAAACACGCGTAAGTTCATTCAATTAATCGATTCTAAATATAATATTTTTTATTCAAGTATTTCTTGATTACAAGTAGTCGTAATAAGAATATAGTAGAAAAAAACTAGAATAAGATAGTTAAGTCCATTGTCTTACAATTATATGGACGTCGGGTCCGCGCTAAAAAGTGTCCGAACTTATAGGGCGTTAAAATCGTATACAGAGCGTCATTCACGCTTTAGTCTTCGCTTGTTCGACGGACAGCGAAGCAAGCAAAATTAGACAGTACTGCGATGACGTTACAATTTAAATTCAACGTTTTAGCTTTTTCATATTCCTTTACATGTCACTATGTTTAAATAGGTTGAATTGGGACATTTATTTCATGGTTTTTGTATTAGACCCGTCTGTCGTCCATTTATTTGTAAGACAATGGTTAAGGTTCCTTCATATTACTTGTTTTTAAAAAATGTTGATTACTTCAAAAATTAAGACTTTAATTTTTAATCGACTTCAAATATTGAAATTATTGTCCTTCCAATAAAATGAGCTTATTACATAACATCTTTTTGTAATAAAAGACCTTATCGAATAACTTAAATAATGAATAAGCACGTCAATATATGAACTTGCAACTGCCTTAATTAATGTTACTAGATGGTTTTCTGTTGGTAAGTGATCAAATTGATGAATGCCAAGACAAATGAAAACGTTTCTGCTGACAAAAAATGGTAAAATCTTATTAATCAGAGGAGGTTTACTTAAAGACGACCTCGTGTGAAATTTTTAGATTTGTTTATTATTTCTTGGACTTCTAACTCTGCTACTCTGCATATCTGGATAGCATCTTAGCTGGAATAAATTAGACCACATTCGTCCTCGAAAGCAACGAACACATATATATGATCCACTCGGTTTTTGTAAAGACAGCGCACTGTTAATTCTTTGCAATATAGGTATTTTTTTTTGTATTACTCATACAATCAAGGGCACGTCAAGCTTGACACTTGGTACTTTGGACCGTTCTAATCGTAAGCGGCATAGAGTTGGATTTAAGTATTAAGCGTCAAGTTTGACGTGCTCTTCACTCTGTATTACATATCCGGCGATGTACGTAATTATTTGCTCACTATATTCTAACATTCGAGGCAACGACGTGCTGCAAAAATGATCGAAATAACAGATGCTACTGCGGCCTTACCATGAACTCTTATTACATTTCAGTACAGGTTCGTAACGACAAAAAAGAGGGATGGTGATATACACTTCATGTAGCGCTGTCTCACTTCGATTCATTTTAGGTCCTAAACTGGATCGTAATAAGAGTTCATGGTAAGGCCCCTGATAATAGATACTACAAAACCATCGAGTATATAATATATACTCGATGTACAAAACTGTAAAAAAAAACGAAACGTTACTAAACGTTATAACAAAAGAATTATAGAATTATTTTTATAATATTGCTAAGGTCATAATAATTTTCGTCCTTTTATTTCCAAAACTGATCAGGAGATCTACTCTGGATCTCCGTCCGAAATAATTACTGCCAAATAAGCAATACTTGACCAAATGAAAAGACGCGTGATGCGAATGAAGCTTTATACTCGATATACTTGTTTTTTAATTTTGTCGAATGTTACTTATTTGACAGTAATTGTTTCGGACGGAGATCGAGTGTAGCCCCCTGAACGAGAACAGTGTTGCCAAACGTATACATCACTAAATGTTAAATTTGGCCAAAGAAATGTGCAAGCGGCCGTACCACGAAACTGAATGCATTACACAAAAGTGCGTTCGTTCGATATTCATGGCGTATTAACAAAGGATGAAAAATATATCATACCAAGTCAAGGCCGCAATGTATTACAAAATATGAGGTATGCACTCGGTTGCATTTGTGAGTCATGTAGAGTCTATTGCCAGATCTTGCCTCTTTCGACTAAAGATATTATATAAAATTCGTCATTTACTCAGTGAAGATATTAGATTAGAAATGTGTGAATCTCTTTTTTATTAAAATTGAATTATGCGGATACAGTTTTCGGTCCCTGTCTTCTCTCTACCTCAAAAAAATTAATACAACGTATTCAAAACACCTAAACCTACACGGTATTCTTAATATGCAAACTATGTAGAAAAATGCAAAGTCCTTCACTTTGCATTTTTCTACTTTGATGCACTCTGTTGTTAGATACAAAAGTCTACCTTATCTACATATATGACAAGTTAAAATGGCGGACTTATTCCTATAATTCACGCAGAGTTAATAGTTTTTTCTTGGTAACGCCATTCCATAAAACAAGAGCATTTGAGGGTAGCTTCCGGTATCAGGCATCTTAAATGCTGGAACAATCTACCTCCTCACTTAGACAGCCAATCTCAAAATTCGCAGTTAGAAAAAGTATGATAAATCTTTTGATAGAAAACCAGCGTATGCTTTGATGCCGGATGTTCCTAACTCACGTCTCATGTTTATTTATATTTATGTATAGTTACTAGTAGTTTTGTATGATACATGTATCACACGTGTATTTTAAATGTGTAGTGTGGCATAAAGCAGAGGATACACAGAGCATGTATCATTTCCTTAGGTCTCAACCGACGCTGAAACAAGGGGTCTACCCTCGATCTTCGTCCGACATCCGTCCGAAACAATTGCTGCCAAATAAGCAATACTTGACCAAATGAAAAGCCGCGTGATGCGAATGAAGCTTCATACTTGATACTTGTCTTTTAATTTTGTCGAATATTACTTATTTGACAGTAATTGTTTCGGACGGATGTCGGACGGAGATCGAGAGTAAACCCCTTGAAACGACTGAAAATCAGCGTCTGTCTCGCCCTAGATAGACATATTGCTGAGTCGCATCCTTTTCTTCTTTTGCGCCACTATACAAACTTACTAAATTCAAATCACGCAGGCATTTGTTGTTTTAGTGTTAAGTATTAAATTTAAGTGCGTACAGTGACTCAATTTAATGAATAAACGTTTTTCTTTCTTTCTTTCTTTGCACATCAGTTTCCTCGAAATTCGTACAAAACCAAAATAATTGTTTTTAAAATAAATTATGCATCTTCTGATTACAGAATCACTTGCCCGTGGAAGGAAACGTCCGTGTTTACTCGTTTTCCCACAGTTATGGTGCTTTTGCAGTTTATAATGGCACAATTATGCATTTTTCGCGTTGTCGACTGGTGGTTTATCTACGATAACGGTCGAGCACGTTCTGAAGTGTAGCAGCGGCAAGTAAGTGATTTTCATTTACTTTAGGCACGCGAAGTACGTACAGTACACTTGCGGCGTCTATCTAGATCTAGATATATCCCGTTCATTTTCGTAAGCGGCATAGAGTTGGTTGTTGTTTTTCACAGATAGTATAAATATAGGTAATTTAAACGATAGTAAAGTAGAAAGCTTGTATCAATTACTGGGTCAAGAGGGTAGGTCAAAAGCACGTCAAGTTTGACACTTCAGATTTAAATCCAACTCTATACCGCTTACAATAAGAACTGTCCAAAGTACAAAGTGTTAAGCTTGACGTGCTCTTGATCGTACAATCTTCACACCCACACTTCTTCTAAGAATTGGATCGAAGGCCAATTCTACGAGACTGCTCGTTGAATCTTGGTCCGTATAGAGGTTTTGTCTGCTAACTGAAACATAAACAATAACATGTCTGCTAGCTGAAGTTGTGCTGCAACTTGCTTGACAATCAAATCTCCTTTCGATACACATTCTTGAATGTAGAAGAGTGTCTCAAGCAAATGTGTTTTGTTCGACGGTGAAATTCATATGGCGGATTGTATGACAATTTCACAGCAGACTCGTTGTCTATACAAAGAGTTGCTTTCAAACCTTCTGTGTTAGTTATATCTGCTAAAAGCCTCTTCAACCGTACTACTTCTTGTGCCGTTTCGCTTGCGGCTACTAGTTCCGCCTCCGTCGTAGACAAAGCCACTGAAGTTTGCTTCTGACATTTACAAGCAATGGCAGTGCCGTCGTAAAGGCATACCATGCCTGTGGTAGAGTGCTCAGTTTCTGGATCTCCTCCGTGATCAGCATCTGAGTAGCACATTAGGTCATATGCTATAGTTTTACTTTTAGGATAAAAAGTTAGACCTTTTTCAAGAGTTCCTTATAAGAAGCGAAGAATTCACTTTACACCAATAATATCTTCCTTACTCGGATTCTCTCAAGTACTTGGATGCAACTGACACAGAATCGCAGGTATCGGGTCTTGTTGCGATCATTAGATAAGCCAGTGCTCCGACACAGTTTCTGTATGGAAACTTTATTTCGTCATTTCCGTTACCATCTTACATTTTCTATATTTTGATTGATGGCCTCGTAACTTGTTTGCAATTTTCCATGCCAAATCGTTTTAGAACCTTAGAATAATAACGCATAGAATGATAGTTTCATATCAAACGAACTGTCACAAGTGAGGCAAAAACCAAATTCATGTAGGCGTAAGCAACTTGTAACTACGCTCGTCGGCACGCACAC